GTTATTTGCCAAGAGAGAAAAGCGGGCTCCTAACTAATACCGCACAAAGCCTGCTCATCCTAAATAAGTCCGGTGGGAACTTTAAACAGGGTAAATACAGGAAAGCCACGCATAGGCAGTCTCGCTTTGTTAGGCTAGGCAATACGGAAAACATGGTCAGCAAGGACCGTCATTCAATATAGCAATTTATGGCACGTATGTGGGGAAAATCCGTGATTAAAACCTCGGTTACGTTGGGTGTCGGGCCATTACAGTAACCCGTCATTATGCATACGTACTACGACACTAGGAGCAGTCCAGTGGCGAATAAGTTCCCGTCAGGTTTTCGTACCTAATGGCGATTTAATTACGAAATCTGGGATAAGAGCGGCTAAGGCAGGCCATTGTCGCCCAGCAGCGTTTGGAAGGCGTAAAGGGGGGAGGGGGTTGTCAACAAATAACTCGCAACAAAGCTCCCGTAACTCCGTAACATAGTTCCCGAGTTAGATCAGCACATTCAACCAACACATGTTCTTCCCTAAGCCGGACGTTACAAGTTTCGCGGACCGGTTGTGCAGAGCGACTGAAAAGGTGGCCGTGGGTGAGACGAGTGTGGCACTAAAATCACAATCAAACACCACATCGCCACATCTCAGACGCACCAAGATCACTTCTCTCTACCTGTTCTCGTGATGGACGTCGCCCATGGCTGGAGTTTGGACTTGATTTGATGCATGTGTTTTTCATGCAAGCATGCAAAACATCGCACTGATTTTGCAAATACCGAACGAAACGGACTTAAGTTAAACGAAGTACATCACCTAATACCAGAGACACTTCCAGAGGCGTTGGTAGACGGACACCTCCGTTCGCAAGAGTATCGGCGAGAACATTTTCCGCGATGCCGCGATATCTCGGTATCCACAGAAAATTATCATGTTTGTCGGCAGGTAGCGAAAGAATTATATTATGGATGTTATATGCTTCCGGGTGGTTCAAATGATTAAGTCGCTTAAGGGCCTGCAGCGATGCCTTGGGGTTGTGCATATCGTAGCCTGGGGAACACGTTAAACTCTGATATGTAACCGCACTCGTTTTATAGCGTATGCTTGCGCAGATAACACCGTGCTGGAAGACGTCCGGTGAATCGGAAGTCCAGACCGACGGCCGCTGCACCAACCTGGTCACCATAAGCAGATTCATCGGTGTAGAACAAAACGGATTTGGCGTGCGTATTTCTGTTCTCCAGGAAGGTAGATGGTACTTTCACGGCAGACATATACGATTTTTAGATCCAAATAGATAGGGCACTGGGAGCCAGAAAGGCGCCAATGGAAGGTTAGGTGCAAGACGTACACCTGGAATGTCAGGAGCTCGTCGCGCCTGTTTCACAGCGTCGAGCAGGAAATACGACCTTCGCTGTATTTGTGCGTGCGGTCTATTTGTTTCAAGAGCAGCGCATACCGCGTGGTTTAGCAGGCTTTGAGAATTGTAATAGTACCGCACGGGTCTGCCAGCGCTGGCAGGTTGCCATCAGCACGGATGACGAGAGTTGGGGTCGTGAGGAAGACCGCTGTGATCAGGCGCTGGCACGTTGATTGAATGGCTTCCAAGCGTTTGCAAAGGTTGACTGAGATGGTGCTAGATATGAAGCAGTTATACTTGAGCGTTGATCGGATGTGTAACGCTTCGGGTTACGGGCTACAGATGAAACCTATATAAAGCGTAGTAAACGTCGTTTGGTCTGCACCCCAGGTACGACCAGAAAGGCAGGTGAGGACGTTAAGTCGTTTTAAGCAACGATTCCCTACATCCTCTGTGTGAGCTTGGAACGTTAGACGCGAGTCCAGTGTTATTTCCAGAGATTTGTGCAACTTGTAGGATGGCATAGGAATACTAGAAATTTGTCGAGAGTGGGCAGGGGATGCTTCGGGACCTCGTTTGAAAATAGCCATTAAGTGTTTGGAACAGAGAGAAAGGAGCTCCATTCCGAGCACCAATTCACACAAAGATAAATTGTTTTTTGGAAAGCTGAGAAAGACTCTTGGCAGCCTTAGTGTGAGCTCCATAAAGCAAGATCGTCAGCAAACAGCGAGTACTGGATGCATTCTGTGGTGTTGGGGATTGCATGAAAAACATAATTGATGGCGATAATAAATAGCGTTGGACAAAGTACGTTGCCTTGAGAAACAACATAATCCATCTGGTATAAGTCAGATGCTATGGACTGACAGCGTACATTGAAGGAACGGGTCTGTAAGGAAATGCAAAGAAAAAAGGCTAAGCGGCCCGTAAGGCCAAGAACATACAACTTGCAGATTACGGTGTCGCAGTAGACTTTGTTAAATGCTGACGTAAGGCCCATAAACACAGCGACAGCTGAATGCTGTCGATCCGAGTTGGACTGTATATCTGTAGTAAGACTGAGAATGTTTTCTGCTGTACCATGGTTAACTCGGAATCTAATCAATCAATCAATTTGAAAGACGTCCAGCAGCTGGTTAGTTTGAGGAACCATCACAGACGTGTCCCGACCATTCGTTCCACGATCTTACATGTACAATTTGTGAGTGATATTGGACGATATAAGTTAGCGGACAGCCTATCTTTGCCAGGATTCAGGAATGGAATAACCGTGCCTTGGAGCCATGCGTCTGGAAAAGTATGACTGGCCCAGAAATTGTTGATTGCGGTTAGAAGCGTTGACAAGTTTAAAGTAGGTAAATTGACAAAATACAAGTAAGGTAGCCCATCCGGGCCAACCGAGATTTTGTCGCCGCATTTGGCCAGGGACAGTCCGAGTTCTCGCATAATAAAAGGAGCATTACAGGCTTCATTGTAATCAGAAGCAAACTCGACGGCGGAAGTTCTGTCAGCTAGACATCGGTTAACGCTGGGGGAGTAGATGTTTGTGGAGGACGCCGAGGCTAGTTGTTGCGCAGATATTTTAGCGATCTCATGTGCATCGGTTACAGCGTCGTTTCCTCTCGCAAGCTGTGGGAAAGCACACGTAGTTTTGGCGAACGACAAACAAGCGGACAGTTCCCAAATTTTGCTTACTGGCGTAAAGCGGTTACACGTTTAATTAAAATTCCGCCACATCGGTTGCTTTTCGCGGCGCAACATGTCAGAACACGCTTTACGCGCTGTTGTGCTTAGTTTTGCCTGTCGGTCGCAAATGCACTTTTGGAAATTTCCGAGCGCTTTGTGTCGGAGTGCCTTTGCCTGTTGACAGCGTCAGCTTCACCATGAAACATTTTCAGACCGACCAGGTCTGGATCGCTCCTGAAATGTTTCGGCTGCGGCTGAGTGGGCGGCATTGAGGAAATCCGGTATGGCTGCCCTTTAATCATATGCAGCATGCCGAGTGACGCGGTTATTAAAGGCTACCCAATCACCATCATTTGTATGACATTTTTTTGTAGAAGGCAGAGACAGGAGTGGAGCCGCACACGTAAGAATGAGATGGGGAGGAAAGTGGTCAGAATATAAGAGATCAGCCGTCACAGTCCACTGGAATAAGGGAGCGAGACGGGGCGACGCAGCGGACAGGTCTATTGCTGAGGTGGTGTGGTAACTCGAACTCGAAAACGTGTGTGTGCCATCGTTAAGGTGTACCAGAGAATGCTTGTTTACAACGATTTCCACCTGGGATCCCCGCGAAGACAAAAATCGGCTTTCCGAGGGCGGGTGACATTAAACTCGCCAAGTATGAGGCAATTAACATAACAGGCAAATAATTGTAAGCAAATCGTCAGGCGTGGATTGTGTAACGAGTCGAGAGTTGGGAGGCAAGTAAACGGATAATATCAGCACATCGTGTTTAAAGCTTCACGGTAACCGCTACAACGTTTAGCTGGGTTTCAGGAAGGGCCTGTCGCTGGGAAACTGGGTTATATACGTCAAACGCTGCACCACCCTATCAGGCGTCAGAATGTATGTTGTTCTGATGGAGAGTGTAGCCGGGAACATTAAAGTTGTACGGGTCCGAGTCACGAAACAAAGGTTTTTCACAGTGCAGCGGCCAGGGGTGAGCGTTTCTTCAAATGGTGGTTTAACTTCAACGCGTTGTGACAAAAGACTTTCGGCATTTCATAGAACTAAGAACGCTATTTTTGTTTTGTTTTATGATATTACAACAAACCGTGGGTCTGGCTAGGCAGGGAAGGGGGACCCTGGAACAGGCGCACGCATCAGTGTTGGCTGTGTGCGACATCCCCGGCTCGTGTCTTCGTGGAGTGATGCCTTACGCAAGCGGAAGCTTCGTCGCTGTGTGGGAGGCGTGTGAAGTGTGTCGAGGTCCGTTTCGGGGGATGGAGTCCGTGAAGACCTGAGGGCCCAGGAAAAAGGAGGAGACTCGACATTGACGTGGGAACACACTGGGATGGAGTCATCCGAGCCAACCTCAGACGACAACTGGTTGCGGCGGTCCCTGCCAGGGGTGTCACGTCATTGGGGCCTTACGACGCTCTCAGCTGCTGAGACTATATGTCGTCGCCTGCCTCTCACCCAGGCAGGAAGGGCGGGCGCCGCGGGGAATCGAACCCCTTACCTCTGGTTTCCTGCCGGGGGTGGCTGCTGGCGGTTTGTACGTGGGAATGAATGGGTTCCTGGTGGGTTATACGCGGCTCGCATCGCTGGGAGTGCCGGCCAGTCTTCGAGCCCAAACCTAGGGGGTTCACTCGGGGCGCTGCGGCTGGCAATGCCCCAAGCTTGCCATTACAGACCGGACACGCAGGATCGGCCACCGGATGTGGGCCCTGGCAAGCCGCCCAGCGCTTGACAGCGCTTGTCCTTGACATGCTGTCAGGGTTCGATTACTACAGAAGCTTATCCCTGGCCCAGTCAAAGTTCGGAGGGACATCACTCTCTCTCCCCTGTCCGAAAGTTGAATGGCAAGTGTCCCTCCTGCCCCCCTTCCCCTTGTTCCCGCGCGTGTGGTACGATTTCATTGCATAGGACCTCCAGGCAGTCAGGTCAGATGTTCGTAACATTCGTATTGCCCACCTGGGTCGGTTTGTCCGTAACCGCCGCCAAAAACGTGACCTCGGTCATGCCCGTGGATAAGGTCCTCTGGCCCATCACGCAAGTTCTGAGTGCTTATCTGCCGTCTTGCTCTTTTTTTTGTGTGTGTGTGGTGTCTGTTATATCTTTTTGTGCCAAGAGAGAGAGAGAGAGAGAGAGAGAGAGAGAGAGAGAGAGAGAGAGAGAGAGAGAGAGAGAGAGATATTATATATATATATATATATATATATATATCAACCTAGTGGTGTGAAATGAGCCATTGATATTATCATTATTTCGAATAATCCAGCATTTTACTTAACAAAAAACCTGCGCCACAACGGTCTTCATGCTTCGGAACCGACGAGTCAAGGCTATCTCGACGAGTTAACAAATATATGACGCGCGTAGATGTTGCGACGGGTATGGAGGGTCCTGAAAGCTTTTAAGTTCTCGGCAAACTGTCAGGGTAATGAACCACCATCTTATGAACGATTCAATATCTTTTTATCGTATATTCTCATTGTTACCGTTGATTGGTACCTGTTTCCCTTAAGATTTATTTTCAGGAGATATTTTTCGGCTAGGATTTTACTGAAAGAACCGAGAGAATTTTAGGCTGTTCAAGGAATCAGAAATATTTATTGTACCCTTATTATTGCAGTGGCCTGCACTTAGTTTGTAAATTAATGTATCTTATCTGCATGTTTCTCATTGTTTTTCCGGCGAGTGCCTGGTTAATGCTCACAAGTTGTGATTTCTAAAAAAGCTTTTGAAGGGTCATGTTAATTGCATCTGAATGTCTGTAACATTTCTGCTTCTTATCAGCATTCTGCACTTGTTTTAACCTAAAGCTCAACCAAAGTCAGTCATCAGTCCATCATCTCTGGAAATAACCATTGTCATCAAAAATTCTCCACTTGGGCTTGTTGCCACAGGAGCCATTGGTGTAGGGTGCCAGATTGCAAAAGATATACTCACACACATGCACACACATGCACACAAATATTTGTATGTACATTATATATGTATATAAATATTAATATATATATGCATTGTATATTCATGAATATCTGTATACACAATATATATTGCTTGTCAAATATCCAGTAAGAGGGCAACTGGGAAATTTCAGCTCACATGCACTGTAAGTGCATTGTGAATGCGAATGTTTGTGAAATTGCGATTGTGTGAAAATGCATTGTGAAATGAATATTTGTGTGAATGCCCAGAGTTAAGTACATAATTGTCACTGATTTCAGCATATTGAGGGACAATGTTCCAAATTATATTGCAATAGTAACTCCAGGCACAAGTCATCTAGTTTTTTAACAAAAATCCTTTTAAAATCAAGCTTAATTCTCTGTGGACAACTCCTGCATGCATGCACCTGGCGCACCAGGTTTGGTACTTTGATGTTGCCTTGGCATCTGGTGCAGTATAAGTCTGTTTTGCAGACTGGTTGCCTTGTAAGCATTTTTCAGGTCAGATCTGTCCTCCCTCTGCTCCTAAATGATTTTCTTACCCCTGCCTTGCCCCATCACTGATGTGAGGTCTAAACCACTGAAAACTTCCTAAAAACAAATAAGGAAATAGTTTGAGATCTGGTATTGGGAAATTTTAGCAGCTATAAGTCAAAGTAATTCACAGAAGTAGTTAATATTACTTGGTATTATAATGTAAGTAAAGTTTGTGAAGTCTTGGATATCTGCTTGCTGCTTCCCAATTAATTTAAGCTACGTCAGACTTTGGGCATCTTTCCCATAGATGTTTTCTCTTGCCATTTCCAGGGCCACATTCTTCCTCTGTTGTTTATGTATGCTGCTACTGCTGTATCTGCATATCATCATATCAGTTTGCTCATTAATTTACCTGCTCTGCTCATCATTTGCAGGTACACACAATGGCTGATGCTGAGCCAGGAAAGCCAGACTTCCTGCAGTGTTGTCTAGTGTGCAACACCGAGGTGAAGCAACTCGACAGGCCCCAGCGCCGCCTGGATGGCATTGAGTGCCGTGAGTTCCTCGCCAGCCTTATCTGCCCGGCGGCGCGCGACGAACTGGCCACGATCGACCTCATCTGTGACAAGTGTCTGGCCATTGTTGAGCAGTGGAACTCGGCGCGGCACACGCTGAAGAAGCTGCAGAGCACCATCACGACTAAGTACAGGGCGTCTCGGCAGCGGCGTAACGTCTCAGTGCTGAGCCTCCACATGGACAGGATGGTGGTGCAGATGCCATATACTGTGTTCCTGATGAACGCCAAGGGCTTCAGCAGCGCCTGGCCGGAGCTGGTGCAGCAGGTGGCGGCTGCCGTACTGGAAAGCGCCGGCATCGCCCCACGACCGCGTTCCGGCGTGGCGCCGTCGCCGCCGCCGCCTCCGCCGCTTCCACCGCCGCCGCCGCTGCTGCCACCGCCGCCGCCGATGGCCGAGACCAAGACGGTAGCGTGCCAGACGGCGGGTGAGGTGCGGCCGGTGCCGACGCGGCGACCGCGTGGTCGGCCGGCGCGCTGGTCGGCGCCCAGCTCGGCTGGCTCGGTCGGCAGCCGGGCGGGCTCACTAGCCGGCCGCACCGGCCCGCCGCTGCCCGATGGCGAGCGCGCGCCGCCTCCGGCGCTCGGGTGCCTGCGCGGCTGGGAGGGCATCACCAACGTGCAGCCGTCGGCGCCGACGCGGCCCGCGGCTGCTACCGCCGCTGCCGCCGCCGTCGCCGGTGCCGGCGCCGCCACGCACAAGCGCGTTGGCTTCGAGGGTCTGAAGGAGCAGGCGGCTCGCGCCCGCGACCTGGAGGAGACGCTGTCGATCCTGTCCGTGGCGGACACGGCCAGCCTGCTGGACCGCACCGAGACGCTCTCTGTGTTCTCCGGTGAGGCCTGGTCCTGCGGCGCCCAGCATCAGCCTCCTACTCTCATTCATCTGCCGGCTCGTAAACGCCTGTTCACCGCTCATTGTTACCTTGCCTTATCACACGCTGCTTTGTGGATGTGTCAATATGTTGTCGGGCCGATGGTTGGTCTGAGGGGGTGCCATCTTAAAAATACCTGCCATCACTGTCTGGCATTGCTGCCGACCCCACTGACGGATGGTGTGCGGTGTCGACAGACACGGCTGACCTCAGTACGCTGGCCGACGACAACTGGACGTCGCTGGAGCTGGCGGGCGGCGGCGAGCCCGAGACACCGGCGCGGGCCGGCAGGGACCGGCCGCACGAGGTCACTAGCGACTGCACTACCGGGGCCAGCTTGTCGTGTTTGCGTTCTCGGTTGTGGTGGCGTTGAATTGGCGTGTGACGGCTGTGCGCATGAAAGTTAAGAGCGATCAACGTCCGCAACTCAACGTCCGATTTGGAACTCCCTTTGTGATGCTATCTACTCACGACGCCGGGGGGTAGACGCCATGTGGCTTCTTAAAAGAAGCGTGGTGCTCATCGGCTTGGCAACATCTTCAGGGAGGTGTTTTTGGAGGTGTGGGCAAACGCTCATGAAAGGCACACAATCCCGCCACTGAAAGGGCTCAATATGTATTCATCGTCGTTGTAGTTATGGTATGACTTTGTCCCAGTTCGTGGCTGGTTTCTGAGACTGGGTGATCACTGCGTTTGTCACGTGTGGTGTGCTGCAGAGCTGTGTACCGGCCACCATTCGGTCCGCGTCGGTGGCACTGACCTGTGGGCGTTAGCCACCCCTGGTCCGGACTGATTGCTGTGTCCGGACCTGTTGCAGGCGCCGTCTGTGTCGTTCGCCGAGCCGTCGGCTGGGGACAGGATGCCCGGCCGGAAGACCGCCGACAAAGGTGAGGACAACTGGCCGTTTGACGACCGACCGCGCTGTAGGCTGTAGACTTACAGACCGACCGTGGTCGCCCGTCCTGCCACGAAACGGTTGTGTTGTGTTGATCGCCCGTATTTGCGTTGTTTGACAGTGGTCACTCGCTCCTGTGGTGAGTCTATTCGATTTCGAAGTGAGTTTGACACGCGAATGGTGGTGGCGTGCCGACCGTTTTTTCCCCGCCGCTCGGGACTGACGCACCGGTCTCGCCAGGCGAGGATCTCCTGCGCGAGTTCGCCGAGACCATGTCCAACATCTCGGAGGGCGTGGTCCTGGAGGACCTGGAAGGCTACTTCGAGGAGCTCGACCGGCCTTGCCACGGCGGCGGCAAGCTGACCGCGGCGGCGGCAGGTCGCACTGCGCCGCCGCCAGCCGCCGAGCGGCCAGCCACGCCGCCGGGCGGCGCCCAGTGCCCCGTCTGCCTGAAGGTGTTCCGCCACCGACGCTACCTGCGGCCGCACCGGCGCCTCCACGACGGCACGTTGTTCCGCTGCGAGCTGTGCGCCTCCCCGTTCCTGCACTACTACAAGCTGCAGCTGCACCTGCGGCGGCGGCACGGCGTGCAGCTGCGGCCGGGGCGCGCCGCCGCGCCACCGCCGCGGCCGCGGGAGCCCCGCGACGCCGCCGGCAAGCTGCGCTGCGCCGAATGCGGCCGCCCGTTCTCGCGGCGGAGCACGCTGCGGGAGCACGAGCGGCTGCACCGAGGCGGCGGGCACCCGTGCACCGTCTGCGGGAAGGCGTTTCCGTCGAAGAGCGACCTGGCGCGGCACGCTGACAGCCACCGCAGCGAGAAGCTCTATAAGTGCGCCGACTGCGGCAAGGCGTTCCAGGTGTCGTCGTCGCTGGCGCGGCACCGCACGCTGCACACGGACCGCGCTGCCACGTGCGAGCTGTGCGGCAAGCTCTTCGATCGCAAGGACACCATGCTCAAACACCGCGAGACGCACAAGACTAACAACGAGCACGGGTGCGCGCTTTGTGGCAAGATGTACAAGCAGCGCCGCATCCTGGCGAAGCATATGCGGCTGATCCACGGTGGGCCAGGGGCGCACGTCTGTGAAGTGTGTCAGAAGCAGTTCAAAACCAACTACGACATGCTGGGGCACGTCCGACGCATGCACGCTAAAGCGGAGTCCAACGCCGACTGAGGCGGCAGCGACGGCCGTGCCCTGCGGCTGCCGCGATGTATCAGACCGTGGCCGAGAATTGTGTGGGATGCCATCGGACGTTCAACTGTGGACAGCTATTGGCTCCTGTCGCCGGGACGTGATGTGCAAGACATTGCTACTCCCTCCCAAGCGATGGAACTTTGTATCTTTTTTTTGGGGGGGGCATGCCTCTCAATGTTGGTGCGAGCCCTGCAAAGTTGGACTGGGCCATGCAATGGCAGATTGGGCTCCCGCAATATGGGGCATGGGCTCTACAAGGGAAGACCCAGCCACAGTGGTCGTTCTTTGAAATAAAGGTGAAATAAATAAAGGCATGAACGATCTTATTACCGAACTACTTGGCTCAGAATGTTCTTGTGCTATGTTAGCACCGCGCTGCAGACAACTAACTCAATGTGAAATTCAAACGCTCTTTGCAGTCGGTCTCGTGCTACGCAATTCACCGATCGAATTTTGATACCTCACAGTCACTGCAAGCGACAGAAAATAATAGTTGTATGCGTACGTCTGAGGGTGGATCCAGAATTTCGTTTTTAATGTCGGCAAACTTACTTCACTCACGCTAAGGCCCTGCCACCAGCGTTTGCACTTCTTCGATTGTGAATGTATTCAACCGCTTGTTAGTGTTGTTGCCGTACACATATTGTCTCGTGGTGATGAAAGTTGCTATAGGTTTCGTCCCATGCAAAGAGTATATTGGGTTTTAGCAATGACCTGTGATAAGGAAAAATATGCGTGCAGAGGAGTACCGCATGCCTTCCAATTGGCTGTGTTGGCCTAGGCTGTGACTAGGGGCGCTAGGGCGAAGCGGTTGAAGGGAGTGTTCCACATTTGCAAATGGTTAAGCACACATCAGATATAATGAAATAAGCTCACTTGAATTATTGATACACTGATAAGTGGAAGACGGTCCCAGACAGCAAAATTTCTCTAGTTAATACGCTCATCTACTTACGATTGTTTTATTGCGTCACCGCACGTTTGTATGATGAAGGACGACCGAACAAGCCGCGCGAAATTGCCACTTCTGCACTCACGTGTCGCGCTTTAACATCTCGAGAGGTGATTGTGACGATGCTGAGCCAAGTATTGTTTTGCGCTCATGTTTTAGTTCTTTCTTGTGTTGTTTTTGCATATTTATCCGTGAGTTGAACGTGGTAAGTTGTGCTCACCAACTCAGCTATGACGTTATGCAGGTACCAGTTATTTGATTGCAAGTCTTACTTCTGTTATAACTAGCGCCCATTTTCAACTTCTTGTGTAGCACAAAGCTTAATTCGTGATTGAAACTTGCGCAGCCCGCTCAACGTCGATTGAGAGCCAATTTACATCCATTACGTCTGGAAGTCGTTCTACAAACGCCAAATGTGAACGTATCTTTGTCTTGGCCTTGAACGCCACGTGGCCAATGGGATGGGAGAAGTTAAAGGGAGTGTTTGGCGTTTATGCGAGGTTTTGAACAAGAATAGCTATCTTGAAGACCTTTCGGTGCTGTTCACAATCCTCCCCTTCTCAAGACCTAAGCCCCCCTAGTTGTTTAGCAACACGCCCGCGAAAATGGGGAAAGGTATGTCGGGGAGAGTATTTCAAAGTCACCTCGGCATTCATGACGTAATAATGACGTCACTCAAATTCTGCCAATTCACAAGCCTGGCGGTGATCAAGGCCAAAAAATACAGTTGTCGAGGCCAGAATCGCACGCTTGAAAGCTCCACGGGGGTTGAAAGTTTGACTACGTGCAATTCGCTCACCTCGCCCGGTATCGTTGCCTTAAGTCCTTTAGCTGGTTTCAAGATGTATTACGACTGCGCTGTGACCGCTCGCACCCGCAGCGACGCATGTTGTATACGTCTGACATTTCGCGGACCCGGCAGCCTATCGAGAAAACTCATCGCACTTGGTAGCCATGCAACAGATTCACGAGTGGCGTTTTCGCCGGGTCAGCCTTAGCATGTCCAGTTTGCCTGCGAGTCTACGCCATTTTACAGCTGATACCTCTTTTTCGATTGCACACGTCTGCTAGTGATTTAGCATGGATGTTGCGGATTTTATAGTATTCGATATACATGGTGACGACAGTCACAACAGCTGCAGTCACCCCGAACAACGGCAACATTGAGGCAACAAAAAAAGTAAGAGCGTAGTGCTGGGATAAAACTTTGGTACCGTGATTCGGACTCGAAAAGAGCGTAGTGCTGGGATAAGACTTTGGTACCGTGATTCGGACTCGAAAAGAGCGTAGTGCTGGGATAAAACTTTGGTACCGTGATTTGGACTCGAAACTGATTAAATTAATCTCGCTGCGTCTTAACGGTGCTACAGTGTAACCACCAGTGCTGTTATTAGCGGTAACAAGTCCTGAAGTTCCGCTAGAGGGTGCTTTGGAACCATGTCCCAAAGTAGGGATAACCCTTTAATTTATCTGGACCACCTTGCATAAACGGCTGTCCCACAATGATGCAGTGTGTTCAGTTCACTTTTCTACCCATTCTTTGCGAACCGTCATTCTTTGCAGCATGACGGAGGCGGCCATGAGATTCTTAAGGTTTAGTCCGAACGTTTTGATAAAAGGCTTTCTGGGATTAGCGTCTACGCCAAGCATTGCTTGCTTGCCCTCACCCGCTCGTTAAGTTTTCTTTTTGGTCTGCTGCAGAACTTCGCGGCGAAACCTGAACACGTCGCAATGCTCGGCGCGGTCCGTCATGCCATCTGACGTCACCGCAGTGCCATCTGGCCTCACCTGACCGGTGGTGCGGCTGCTGTCACCAGGCGTAGGCTATTCCAGGCAAGGACAAATAGCGAGCGCCTAAAGCAAGTCCAATCCATGCTGCCACATACTTGTGACTCGGAGGGCCGGCGTTCTAAGCAGCTGATCTATCGGAGGTACTTAGTGCATTGTGGGACTTTTTCCACATGGTTGTGCCACAAAAGGATGTCGAGGAATGTCATCGACGCATTCTGTGCGATATGCTCCGGAGTGAAGGGAATATTGGAGCGGTGTCGATCGACTGATCATAGAACAGCTTCGAAACGACGAGTTTCTTCAAGACTCATCATAGAAAAGTTTCGAAACGACGAGTTTATTCAATATACCCGATAACCGATGTTTTTGCTGACTAGTATATCTCCTAGTATAACGAGGGTTGATTGTTTTCAAAATCAGAGCTCTGCTCCTCAACCCACAGCGCCGAGATTTCAGGTCTGTCTTATATTAACTTTCAACGTGCGTCAAAACAGTGATCATGCTATGCTGTAAGGTGGCCACTCTGGAAGCCCATTCGATAACCAATCTTTACCTACTTTTTTCTTCCTGCTATCGAGATGTCTGTTGCGATGGTCGTGCAAGTTCAGTACAGGGAGAGAGAGAGAGAGGGAGAGAGAGAGAGAGAGAGAGAGAAGATGAGAGAGAGAGAGAGAGATAGAGAGAGAGAGGAGATAGAGAGATAGAGAGAGAGAGGGAGAGGAGAGGGAGAGGGAGAGAAGAGGAGAGAGAGAGAGAGAGGGAGAGAGAGAGAGAGAGAGAGAGAGAGAGAGGAGAGAGAGAGAGAGAGAGATAGAGAGAGAGAGAGAGAGAGAGAGTAGAGAGAGAGAGAGAGGGAAGGGAGAGGGAAGGGGAGGGAGAAGGCTGAGAGGGAGAGGGAGAGGGGAGAGTGAGAGGGAGAAGGGAGAGGAGAGGAGAGGGAAAAGGAGAGATAGAGTAGAGAGAGAGAGAAGAGAAGAGAGAGAGAGAGAGAGAGAGAGAGAGAGAGAAGAGAAGAGAGAGAGAGAGAAGAGAGGATAGAGAGACTGAGATGAGAGAGAGAAGAGAGAGGAGACGAGAGAGAGAGAGAGAGAGAGAGATCATGGTAATGTGGGGAACTCAAACTTTGCCTCAGGATCTTATTCGTACGTGTTTTGACCACGCCATCACACGCAAAACAGTCTTTTTTTACCTCTAGGGTCACCTTCGATGAACCATGAACGACATCTATTTTCGGTGATCGTAGGGACTTGTGCGTGAAACAAAATTTTTGAATGTGCGAACTATGTGGTGCAAATATTTTTATTATCATACCCAAACCCGTAAGTTCAATTAAAAGGCTAAAGTCAGATGAAATATGAGAAGCCAACCTTATCGGTTCAGTAATCTCCCCCCTCCCACCTGTAGACCGGGAGCTGTCGGCATTTTGACCGCGACTTCTGGAATGCAAGATGCCACTGGACCGTTCGCAGCAAATCTTAATCCGAGTAAAAGTGCACGAGGTCACGTGGGAACAGGCCTTGTAAGATGACGCCAACCTCCGCCGTACCAGTCCGAGGCCGTATAAAAGGAGCACACCTGCCAACTAGACCGTCAGTGGTCGCTGAAGCAATCCAACGATCAAACATGAAGCTGGTGAGTACCCCCAGTGTGCGACAATGAGCTTGCTGAAAACTCCATACACCCTTTAGGAATACTGACTTTGCAAATGTTATGACAGGCAGCTCACTTAAACTGTCACGGTACCTTATGCGAAGAGCGAGAAAGCGTTCAGTTACCTCCGTGTAAGGTGTGCGTATCGCTCTTAGGGACGCATAGCATTCGGATTATGTTCAGAGATCGGTGCTCCCTCCCGGTCAGTGTGGTAACTTAAGACACTCCTGGAATTTTAAAAGACACGGATGCTGCAGAGCAGGCATTTTGTCAAGCATAAAAAGTACGCCGAGCGTAAGTTTTGTGAAACGAGTAAGTCTTTTTACATACTTCTGCTAGTACTGCAAGGTTGAACACCCAGCAGATGAAGGCGAGCGCCATTTTTCGACGCCGCTGTCAAAAACTCCTGTTATTAATATGATTAGTATGAGCTTGCTCCCTCAAGATTGCACTATAACTTCTACAGTGAAATGCGCAGCAGCTGCAATATGGTTGTCCCTAGCTTACCATAAGCGTTTTTAGTGTGACTCTTAGTGTATAAGGGGTTCGGCGAATGCTGTGAATTTGATCTCGTCAGGATGGTGAAAGTCTAACCGCACCTTACCATGGGGTTTAAATTATAACATTCTAATGGCACAACTGATGATGCCACAACCGCCAACCTTTTCACTTGAGGCAATGAACATACAGAATTAGAAGACTTGGACGGAAAATCTGTGAACAATGGCACTTCACGGTCTGGAGGGTTTTTTCGTGGGCAGTCGCTTTGATGATCTGTTTATCTCCCGCTTTTTTGAATCAGGTGTACTTTCTAGTGGGATGTGCAGGGATCAGCTCTCACGAACACTCATTGCAGGCTGTTCGGATGGCCTCCAAGCTTGTCATTTTTCATTTGACCATTGTAATCTGCTGTTCCAGCT